GCTAGACCCGGTTGCACGAGGTGGTCCCTCCTGTCTGAGGGCTGTTTTTGCTGCTCATCTTCTTCTGGATAAAACGGCAGATTTGGTCTTAGGACATCCACTCACACTTCTGGCCCCCCATGACATTACCGCAATACTGAACCAAACCCAACCAAAACATCTATCTGCCGCCAGGCATCTGCGACTGCAAGGCTCCCTTCTTTTACCTGATCATGTCACCCTGGTCAGAAAGATGCACCCAGATAAACCCTGCAACTCTTCTCCCTCTTCCGGGGGGGGGGGGGGGGGTAGACGAAGCAGAAGAAGACACCGAAGACATGGCACCAGAGGATGTGGTACATGACTGTTTGGAACTTATGCAGGCAGAAACTACACACCTACCAACAGTCCATGATACGCCCCTATCAAATCCTGACCTAATACTCTTTGTGGATGGATCCCGCTTTGCAGATAATGCTGGCACCTACCACACTGGATATGCTGTGACTACCGACACAATGGTACTGCAAGCTAGACCTCTTCCACCTTTTATGTCTGCACAAGAGGCTGAACTAAGGGCCCTCACCAAAGCCTGTGAATTAACAAAAGGACAGACAGCTAACATTTACACGGACTCCAGATATGCACTGGGGGTTGCACTTGATTTTGGCCTAATCTGGAAAATGAGGGGCTTTCTCACGGCAGCTGGGACTCCTGTAAAGCATGGAAAGGCGATCAACCGCCTTATGGAAGCACTCTTACTACCAGCCCAAGTGGCCATACTGAAGGTGAAGGCCCACGGTAAATTGACCACTATGGAAGCAAAAGGAAATCATCTGGCAGACATGGCTGCTAAGCAAGCTGCGGTCAGGGAGCAGGAAGAGGATGAAGAGATGTGCAGTGAGGTGATGCCTGTGCTAATTCATCAGCCCAAGGACAACCAACTCCAGGAAGCCCAGGATAATGCTTCAGAAGAAGAAAGGAAGGAATGGATGCAGAAAGGAGCAGTTGAGGACAAAGGATTGTGGGTGGTGGGGAAGAAGGTTTTGCTTCCCAGATCCTTATATCCGGCAACAGTGCAGTGGGCACATGGAGCGTCACATCTGTCCAAGATGCTAATGAACTCTTTGATCAGTAAATACTATGTGGCACCCGGAATTACGGCTTACACAGACAGATTCTGTAAGTCTTGTGTTGTATGTGCCAAGTGCAATCCTGGAAGACCTGAGAAACCTCCAAGCAAACATCTGGCCAGGGCACTATATCCATTTCAGAGGATCCAGATAGATCATATCCAGATGCCAAAAAGTGGACGATTTGAATATGCCCTAGTGGTGGTGGATATGTTCTCAGGATGGCCAGAGGCATTCGCAGTAACCAACCAGACGCAAGAACCACTGCCAAGAAGCTGCTCACGGAGATAGTCTGCAGATATGGAGTGCCCGAGGTGGTTGAAAGCGATCAGGGACCGGCTTTTACTGCCAATGTCACAAAAGAGATCTGGGGGGCTCTGGGGGTCACACTTGCGTTTCACACACCCTATCATCCCCAGAGTAGTGGGAAGGTAGAGCGCCTAAATGGGGTCCTGAAGTCAAGAATGTTAAAAATGGCCCAAGAGGTAGGCATGGGATGGCCAGACAGCTTGCCTATTGCTCTTTTCAGTGTTAGATACACACCAAGGGGAAGTCATGGGTTGTCTCCCTATGAGATTTTGTTTGGGTCCGCCCCTAGACTGGGTACCTACTATCCTCAACAATTACAATTTGCAGTCTGACTCATTGACAAAGTATGTGATATCTTTGACACGTGTGTTGACTAATATCCATGTGCAAGTATTCTCCTCCATTCCAGATCCTGAGGCGGACATAGGAACACACACTTTACAACCTGGAGACTGGGTCTTGGTCAAAAAGTTTCTGCGAAAACATACATTGGAACCCAGATATGACGGTCCTTTCCAGGTGCTCCTGGTGACTGCCACTTCAGTGAAGTTGGAGGGAAAGTCCACCTGGATACACGCCTCACATTGCAAGAAGGTTCCAGCTCCAGAGGACGAGGCCCTGTCCGTGTCACCCACACCACAATGATTGTGTTGCATATCCTTTTTTGGTGGAAATGGGAGGGGGCCAACAGGTGGCCATCACTCACAAGGGTGACTCCACCCAGTTTTGGTATAATTCATCCAACACACAAGTAGCAACATTTTTCTTCAATCATAGCCTGTGCAAGAACACACCTGTCCCCATTGCCTCCACAATATATATATGTGTTACAGATAATTATTGGGGAGCAGATTGTGGCTACTGGGGATCAGTGGGATGGAACACGAGACCGGTTTGGGGGTATAAGCCACAAAGTGCAGTAGAGCGGAAAGACCGTATGGAAAATCTCTAATTTCCCGAATGACACTCACTTACCACCCCTAAGGTAGATAGGTGATCCACAAAAATGAACAAGCAATTCACTGTAGCCATCCCCCTTACTCTGACCATAGAGAGTCCGGGAGATCAGGGAACTTACCTTCTAGGGGTGTTATACCCCAGAGGTGGCACAATCCACCATTGTGAGTTCCAACTGAAAGATATATACCTTTCAAAAGAGTGGTTGGCCCCCCTTAATCATTCTCTCCCTTCTCCCAATCCCCACGCCTCCATGCCATAATGCCATTGCACATCCTCTCAGATCCATTACTTAAGGGCCTCCCAAACCCCCCCATGCAACCAAGCACAAACGAAGTGCCCCGCAAGGGAGTTTTGACCCCCATGTCTATATAGATGCGATAGGAGTCCCAAGGGGGGTACCCGATGAATTCAAGGCCAGAGACCAGGTGGCCGCAGGATTTGAATCCCTATTCCTCTTCATCACTGAGAACAAGAATGTAGATTGGATAAACTACATCTACTATAATCAACAACGGTTTGTAAACTACACACGAGATGCCTTAAAGGGGATAGCAGAGCAGTTGGAGGCTACTTCTAACATGGTCTTTCAAAATCGTATGACACTCGATATGTTATTAGCTGAAAAAGGGGGGGGTTTGTAAAATGATACCAAAGACCATGACCTGCTGTACGTATATCCCAGATAACACAGGCCCAAATGGGAAGGTGACACTGGCCATCAAGAGGTTGGAGGACCTGTCAAATGAGCTTAAGGAAAACTCAGGTATTACACATCCCTGGGATCAGTGGTTTGGATGGCTGAGTGGCTGGCAGAAAGCCCTCGCCCAAGCAGGGGTGGTTCCTGGGTATTATCATTCTAATGGCAATAGTCGCCTGCTGTGTGATCCCTTGCATTAAGAGGCTAATAGGGAAAGCTGTGAACGAGATCTCCCCTACATTCCTGAACTATAACAATGTTGAATTCCCCCGTGAAGAAAGGGAATCCTATACTCCCTTACAGACCATGGCCCCTGATCATCATATTTCAGATTTATAAAAAAAAAAAAAAGGGAATGCTACAAATTTCCCCCCCCTAACAGACAACTATAAGCAGGGAAAGACAGTGCCTGACTGTGGCCTTCTCAGGACGTATCGAGACTCTAGGGATGGATTAGCCACTCAGGGGCTCTATATGCGTCTTAAAAGAGTTCCAGAGGGAGGGCCACCAGGCAGTTAGGACATCAGAAGACATAGGGACAGTCAGGAATAAAATAGCCATTTTAAGGGGGGATTGTAGTGGATTGTGATAGACAGTCCACGTTTTATTAGATGATCAGTAAAATGACAATTTTATAGTCTTGCTACTTCTGTTTCTTGCTCTTTAAATTCCTTACTCTCTTAAGTAAACAATCAGATATAGGTTGACAGAACAATGATGATAATTAAGATGGCGCCTTCATCCGGAGTCTCACCCTTGGTGACTCATTAGGAGAAAAGTATCTTTTAATGTAAACAACCCCCATAAAAGGGAATGAGTCTTTTTGGGGACAATGATTGGAAGATATCAACACGGATGGACGAACACGCAGAAACCCAGTGGACTTTTCACCCAATCAATGTATATGCTTTGCCTGCATCATATGCCCTATAAATGATACTGTTAGTTCCTCAATAAAACAGAATTTTAGGAAGTTGGCAAACTGCGAAGTGTCAGTGTCTTACTTCCACGTGCACGTATTCTCATATTAATTTGGCTCACTGGTAGATCACGGTAAAAGTTAAAATAGATACATGATAGGATGTGAGAGATTTCTACTGTTGATTCCAATACATTCCATAAAAAAAAAAAAAAAAAAAAAGAAAAGGTCAGAAGATGCAATCTGCTAAGTATTCATGCTGTACTCCACTGAACAATATCTACAATGTCATACTGTTCCCCTACTATAATACGACCACACCAAATCAAAGTGCCACTCAAAGTCATACAAGACCAGGATGCATGTCTATCAGCTTCTCTAAAGACGGCCAAAATGTTACTCCCAGCTAAGGCAGATATTGACCAATTGTCAGTAAAAGAACACAACTTGGGTTAAAATAAAAAACAAACAAAAAAGTTGCCAGTCATCTTTACCTGTCCATTTTCTTGGAGTTTCTGAACAGTACTATAATGTATGCTGTCTCTGACACAATCTGCTTGCCCACAAGCATACAGGAAAAAAAGAAAAACACAAGTAGAGGGACTCCTTGAGGTCGAGTCTAAACATAAAAATCTTGCCTATTCTCCAAGATATAAATACATTTATAGAAAATGTAGAAGAAAAAAAAGCATTGAAAGAAAGCAGTACACTAACAGCTTCTTGTCCATTATTTTGATCCATATTTTAAACACCAGTATGTTATGTGTGCGTTTTCTTAAATACTGCTTATATAAAAGCAATTGTGTTAGACAAAGAATAAAGTAAAACGGAGAGAATAAAACAGATCCCAATCATTATAACATTTAGCACTGCTGACTGTGTTTTGTTTGACCCTAGACTAGATATCCCTAGACCTGGACCGCAAAACAGATATTTATCCAAGCATTAAAATAATTTTAACCACAGAGAGTTATCAATTATCTTTTAATTAACATAATCTCACCATTGTGTTGTAACCCACAGGTCTCTGCTCTCTGCTGCGCCTCCAGCTGCTTGCTACTTTGCCTGCAAATGTAGCACCTATCAGAATAAAACAAATACAAACCTAAGTGAGGAAACAATTACTTTACACTTTCTGATAAAACCACATATGACATTTTAGAAACTGCATAAGCAAAAAAACTCTACTCTCTTCTTGTAAATGCAACAAGTTGTCATAAATGAAGTAAATATATACCTCAACAAATAAAGCAACGTACCCAGATGTGCAACAGACTTTATCCCTTGGGGATCCTACTGCCCACTTTGCTGGTTGGAAAGACACTGTCCCTTCATAGCAGCGATGAGATAGAAAAGTCTTAAAACCTAAAATATACAATTTCAGACTTAGCACTTACCATGCAGGTTGCAACATCTAAACTAATGCAGCTATGTAGTAATTATAAAAGAAAAGAGGCAATACAATTCCATAATTGAATTCAGTAATGCTGTTATGTGTCCCGGTAGAGGTTCTCTTGACCTCCAGCTCTCAAGTTCTATTGTCTCCTCCTCCCATGCTCATCTCCAGGACTTTGCCAGAGCCCCTCCCATCCTCCAGAACTCTCTACCTCAATCTGTCTGGCTATCCCCTACTCTAACTGCCTTTAGGCAATCCCTGAAAACTCATCAGGGAAGCCTACCCAAATAGACATAACACTCCCATCAGCTCATCCCTCACAGTTATAACCTGAAAACACCAAATATTTTTGGTTTAGCATTTTCCTGCTAAAATATGCAAGTCCGTCCCTGAAAAAGGCATTGTCTGGATGGGAGCACATGCTGCTCTAAAACCTGGATATATCTGGATATTCACAGTTAGGTGAACCTCTGCCCATCTTTACTTCTGGGACACGCTTACTCTCTAAGATGCTTTTTTTTTATACCCACTCATGTTACAGACCTGTTGCCAATTAACCAATTAGTTTCAAAATGTACTAACTTGTTAGTACCACTTTGCCAGCTTTTTGTTGCCCTGTCCCAACTTTTGAGACATGATGTTGCCATCAATTTCAAAATTACCTCATTTTTTTTTCATAAAATTGTACATGTTCTCAGTTTAAAAACATTGGATATGTTTTCTATTTTTTATTGTGAATAAAATATGGGTTTACTGTATGAGATCTGCAAATCACTGCATTCTGTTTTTATGTAGATTTTACAGTGTCCCAACTTTTTTGGAATTGGGTTTTGTATATATAGGATTTTGGAAGGGGATAGGAGAGGTGGGTAGTGCTATGGCTGCTGTGTAGGACACCAGTAACTGGGGTGTCGGAACTATATATATTATAGCACTGGCTATACCATCAGCGTTCATGTGAAAAAGTTGTTTGTAAAAAAAAAAAAAAAAAAAAAAATAAAATAAAAGAAACTTCAGGAGGTGGCATACACCTAATTGCACTTAACACCTTGTGTGCCCCAGCAGATTTCCTGGATTTCTTGATTCTAAAAAAACAAGAGCATTGACTGGAGTACATAAAACCTGTGGAAACGGAAGCCAACTCACTGAGCCAACTAGGGTTTCAACCACGATTAGTAGCAAGATAGCAAAAGACAATCGCCTGTAATCATGCTCTGGATTAACAAACAGCCAAGTTCAACTGCATTAGACACTGTGCTGCTTGCTGATGAAATTTTAATTTCAAAGGAGATAAGAAATACAGTAATTACATGTAGAAAAATAACGTTCATGAGTGTAAGCTGCAATTTGATTTTATCTAATTTTTGATTTAAGATTAAATATAACTAATAAAATTGATGTGATTTATAGTAGCTACAAGTACACATTCATAAAAACCAGGACAAAAAAACAAATAGAATTTCCATAATTGTATTTACCAATGTTGGTGCAACAGAGAGCTTTAGTACAGTAAAATGATGGATCACTGTTGTACAGCAAAAGAAATCTTAAACCCACAAATTACATTTAAATTTTTAATTGCTATTCACAGCTTAGATGGCTTTCTTGTAAATCTGTCTTTAATTTTCCTACTGGGACATGACTTTCAAAAACATTACACTTAAGAAACAGGAAGACTTGATAAATGATAAACTAATATAGTTCTGAATTATTTCCTATGATTTATGATCAAAATTTTATCACCAGAAATGACAGATGCTTCACTGAGATTGGAGAATACAAAAACCTTAATAAGTTGCTGCACTTGGATTTGAACTTATCTGTATGCAACTGTTAGAAAATATGATGTTAATCCTTGGAGTTCATTGAGGGATATAAATTTCAGAGATTATACTGTCACCTATAGGTGGATTTGGGTGGATTTGGGTGAACCCCCCCCCCCCCCCCCCAAGCAACCAGCTTGGTATAACCCCTCCCATTAACATCATGGCTCAGTTTTGTAAAAAGCATTACCAAGAGCAAGACGCTAAACCCAGATGGTCGGGACCTGTATGCCTCAATGAACTTCAAGAAAAGGACCCAGAAAGCACTTTGTGGCTAACACAAAGGTCTGGAAAGGGGCAACAATGTTGATACAGTCTCCACAGCTATCGAGGAGGATACAGCAATTCAAAAAAGCTTAATAAAGAGACCAGCATGTAGAACAGTCTTGATTAAATTAAAAATCTCGAGAACAAGAACTAGGGGCTAGCAAAAATAGTTAAACTTTTCCCAGTAGAGAAAAGATGTCCATCTTCTAGACATAAAAGGAACATGCTGGGAGTGGGAGCCAGTATACCAGGTAGGTCTTTTTTTTCTGCCAGTGTGTTATGGCCATTCACAAAAAATTTAGGGAATAGTAAATTGTAATGTGGTGTGCTATTTTACCTGCAAAGTCATATCTGGCAGGGCCCAGCCACCTATTCTTTTCACTTCCTTTCAAGACGTCTCCATAGAAACCATAGCCCAACAATGAAACAGTGTACTTCAAGAACGTTTTTTTGTCATGAACTGAACTAACATCAAGGGGTTGAGAATCACCTAAGCAAAAAACAAAGAAAACACTTATTTCTAAAAGCAGAAAAAAACACTGTCCCTGTCCCAAAGGTGACAGAGTTTACATTCACTTTTCATGACTGCTCCATTGCTGTGTCTGCTTGTTCAAACCAATCTCAAATTAACTTTGCAAATTTAGAATTTTACTAAAAAATTTTACTGAAAATGTTCTTACTGGCAGTACAAAAATAAATAAACAATTATTTGTACACATCAAGATATTTTAAGTATTTAAAAGGCACATAAACAGGGGTTATAACCCTCACTTACTATATGTAAAGTTAAAAATGACTGCCTTTAGTTGTAATTCAAGGAAGCACTTGGCAAAAAAAAACACAGACATCTGTGTTCCATTGCAGAGATTTGCTCAATACCTGTCCCAGACCCAAAACAGGAAATGAGAGAAAATTTCTTCTTAGAGCTAAATCTAAATATTTATATTTTGTAAAATAACAAACATGTCTATACTTATCTGCTGTGTTATGATTTTGCACAGAGCAGCCTGGATCCTCCTCTTCTTGTGTCCCCCGCAGGCTCTCCTGGCTCCTCCTGTCTGTCGGGTGCCCCCACAGCAAGCTGTTTGCTATGGGGGCACCTGTTGCTCTTTGTCCATTCACACACGAAGCCACAGCTTGGCCCTGCCCCTCTCCTCATTGGCTGACTGGCTGTGTTGGACAGTAGCGGGAGCCAATGGCTCCTACTGCTGCCTCAGCCAATGAGGAGGCAGAGACCCGGTACACCCAAAGCTGTCATTCACATCGCTGGATTGCGAAGAGGCTCAGGTAAGTATTGAGGGGGCTGGGGGAGCTGCTGCCGCACAGAAAGTTTAAAAAAATTGTTCAGCCTTTACAGCTACTTTAAGTGAGGGAATTCCTGGTTATCACCAGGGTCACCAGAATTAGTGCTCCCATTGCAGGACTCTAATCAAAATTTAAAAAAATAGTTTGCTTGTAGCGGTTTACTTTAAAAAGAAAAAAACAAACATTATACTCACCTAGGTGGATGCAGCATTGATGTCATGCTGTATCTGCACCCCGCAGGCTCTGCATTGAGAACTGATCAAACACAGCTGATTGCTCAGTTCTCCCCTCCGCTTATTGCATCACCACTGTCTGTAGTCTCAGAAATGACACTTCTAGTGAAGAAACTAAATATCCCACAATCCCCAAGTCTCTCAGTCTAGCGCCTTGTCATGTGACAGCTCAATGGCTATTAAATCTGAAACACAAACAGGCTGAGCAACTAACAGAGACCACCAGGATGTTTTTCATCACATTAGCACTCCCACATTTATCATGCAACACAAAAGAAATGGATTGGCATGCATTGCATTCTGCTTTTAAAATGTTGCCTATGGAAAATATAGAGTATCGCGCTCAAATTTAATGCATGACATGTTGGGTATATAATTACTTGGTGCAACCTCATCTTTCCTATTTTACCACAAAATTGGGTAATATATTGCATTCATGTATCCTAAAATTACCTTTAGTGTACCTTTTGCCGAAATTTTGCACTTGAGGTCTAAAATTATTTTTAAAACGTGTACAAAAATGGTTCTGGCAGCAACAGGGTTAAAGGGAATCTATGGTCACAGCATACACTTTCATTATAAAACATCACTCTTGTAAAAGCAATATGAAAAAAAAAAAAGGTTATTTTTGACAATGCAACATAAAATTACTTGATAAATCTCCTTTTATGTTGTAAATGCCGCCTGTCTGCTGGCGATATCTTTCTACAACTTCCTAAATTCCCTGCATGCTTTACAGCTTCTCCCCTGCTGTTAACTTTACATATCTCAGGACACCATATTCCATGGTATCCTGCTGCCTGCAAGCAGTGACTCCTGTACTAACTCCACCCCCTGAAACGTCTCCTCTCAAAACATCTGTAGTTCAGAAAGCAGGCTCTGTGACATGTGTGATACAGCAGAAATTACTCACAAGGCATAGTAAAGACATGTTACGAAATTCGAGCAAGTAAATGTGTGAGGATATTTACAAAGTAAGTTTACAAACTTCATGATCATTCAAATTAATAGGAGTAGGCTAGAAATAACTGAAATACAATGTGGAAATTAATATATGATTTTACATTATCATAGATCAGCTATAACTAGTGCAGTTGTCCATTTTTCCAAGTGCAAGGAACACGTGAACATTGCACGAAAACTCATAATCCAGGTCAGCTCACACTTGACCACCACAGCGAGATGCTCATCAAGCTCACTGCTGATAGTCACTGTTTTAAGTCCTCATGCACACTTGACGTTTTTACAGCTGCTGTTTTTGGCTTTTGACTTTTTCTACAGCCAGTAAACCCCCCAGCATGTTATCCTTTGTGTCCATGCACACAGGCTGTAATCAACGTTTTTCTGGCAGGGACGTTTTTCGGCTGGAAAAAAAATCCTAGGACTAGTGGGTTTCTAGAGGAGGTAACAAAAAAATAGCAAACATGGAAAAAATGCAAAGCACTAAAGCAAAAACACTAAAAAAAAAGCTGAAAAACGTTACTATACACAACGAAAGTTACCAGCGATATAAAAAAAACCCAGTGTGCATGGAGGCTTAAACAAATGGAAGACTGCAAACCTGCATATTCCGAATGGCTACTTTAAGAATTCACAAAACAGAGTTGCTGTTCATTCTCAAAGACGCTGATAACATCCAAATTAATGCTTTCACAAAATTTAAGATTTAATATAATGGTATTCAGCTTATAATATGCATTTAAGCATGTGTGTTAAACTTAAGTGAACTAAAAACTGCATGACAGCAAAGGTTTAAACGCTTTATTCCTTACCGATGTGCCAGAAAATTGAACTTCGAAAATAACACTGTTCAAGATAATGTATTTGGTATAAGTCACTAATTTATATACAAAATATTTTTTCATATGTTGCGATTACATAAGGCCCACAGTATATCAGGTAAAGGTGGATGATAACTATGCAGACTACAATTTTTTACTCTACAGTTCCACATTTTACAGCAGGAGACCACAAACTGCACATTACCTACCCAATATGATGTGCAACGCTGAAGTTACTGGATCATTGATTCCCACAGTAGCAAAACACACACAGTCTGTAGAACCTAAAAACAAAAAAAAAGCCACCTGTCATCAAGTTAAATGACAAAAACTGAATGTTAGCTTTTTTCTACAAATGGACTGCACATGACTACCATTGACAGTATTTAAGGGTCACTTGAACAGGCCGTTACTATTGTTCTATCACACTAATATGCAGAGTCTGCTGCCCATCTCTCCCCACTATTTATGTCTCTTCATAGCCAGAAATGCTAGAATGAGCCTAGCACTCCTCTTTGTACACCAAACATACCTCTAGTTCATGGGAACCTTTACACTGTAATACGATAACCTGCCTAATCCAAAATGAAATACACCGATAAGATAAATAATCACAACTTTGTTGAAAGTCATAATAAACTCTGCTTTTGAACTTCTACCTAGAGGTAAGGCTTACCTGTAGGTACAGTGACCATCTCCTAAACTTGCCGTGTTTAGGAGATATTCACTTGGGATGCAGCTGGTGAAGTCACTGGCGCATACGCTCTGAAAGGGCAGCATACTCCTACCCACCCTTCAGAGCCATGCGCCATAGCTGTCAGGGACTAACTTCATTGGGGCTTGGTCATTCAAGCAGCAAGAGCATGCAAATCCAGAAGGGCTGAAAGACAGGGTGAAGATGGAAGCCTTGTAGATAGAAGCGTGCCGATGGAGGGCTTTGTTTTAAGGCAAGTATGCCAAAATGGGTTAGTATGCTGTGCATATTAGCATATTATGGCTTAAACCACCCCAGGTCCATGTGTGTTTTTTTTTTTTTTTTTAAAGAGCAAGCTTACTACCACTTCAGTACTTTCATGCATTGTATAAAGTAATATGTTCTTCAATATCCATTATATAAAAAATTTTTAAGAGATGTAACTGCAAATAAATATACTAAAAAAGGGAAAAACAAAAAAAACAAGTGATTACGATAATACCACCACCGTGTTAAAAAAAAAAAAAAAAAAAAAGTACCATAGCAAAGAATCCAATAGCCAAGTACTAGATAAAAAGTCCATAGTTGAATTGGATGTTAGATCAAGCTTTACAGTCTTAAAATAGAAGATGCTTTAGTTGAGGGGAGACAGAAAATCATCAAGTTTCATTTATTCCCCCTTTTCTGTAGATAGGAACTGGGAACACTGCCCAGCTCAAGCTACTGTATGTTAAATCCACTTTTACTAAGCTTGTAGTAAAAGCAGCAATGGATCAAAACGCTGTGCAGCAGCAGCCCTAATTCTATCACTGCCCACATAAAAAGTTTAATGTAATTCCAAGGGCATATGTTTCTCAAGAAAGGATTAGTCTGTGCAGCTCTTAGGCAAAAAAAAAAAATGGTGCTTCAATAGAACTATACGCTCAAGTCAACACATCAGATAAATCTCAGTCTTTGACATATTACTAATAAAACCTTAGCCTTACAGAACAGTAGGATTTCACTGGTATTTATTATATTTTGAGTTTGTTACAATAAGTCAAGACCTCGGGAAAAATATTGTGCTGTAAATGAAAGTAAAACGGGGTTCCAGGCTAACTAATAAGGGATAGCTATATTATCACTCGAAATACATCTGATAAGGGGTACAACAGTGAAAGAGGAGTGCATTCAGTCCCTAAAAAGCAAAAACGTAACTGAACGATTTCCTAAAAGAAAAAAAAAAAAGGAAGGAAGGAAGAAGGCAGCATTACACAGTCTAAAAAGGAAAAAAAAAAAAAAAAAAAAATTATAAAATTATATACACCCACACTGCACATATACAGTGGGGCAAAAAAGTATTTAGTCAGCCACCAATTGTGCAAGTTCTCCCACTTAAAAAGATGAGAGAGGCCTGTAATTGGCATCATAGGTAGACCTCAACTATGAGAGACAAAATGAGAAAAAAAAATCCAGACAATCACATTGACTGATTTGGAAAGAATTTATTTGCAAATTATTGTGGAAAATAAGTATTTGGTCACCTAGAAACAAGAAAGATTTCTGCCTCTCAAGACCTGTACCTTCTTCTTTAAGAGGCTCCTCTGTCCTGCACTCATTACCTGTATCAATGGCACCTGTTTGAACTTGTTATCAGTATAAAAGATACCTGTCCACAACCTCAAATAGTCACACTCCAAACTCCACTATGGTGAAGACCAAAGAGCTGTCGAAGGAAACCAGAAACAAAAATTGTAGACCTGCACCAAGCTGGGAAAACTGAATCTGCAATAGGCAAGCAGCTTGGTGTGAACAAATCAACTGTGGGAGCAATAATTAGAAAATGGAAGACATACAAGACCACTGATAATCTCCCTCGATCTTGGGCTCCACGCAAGATCTCACCCCGTGGGGTCAAAATGATCACAAGAACCACAAAAATCCCAGGACCACACGGGGGGACCTAGTGAATGACCTGCAGAGAGCTGGGACCAACGTAACAAAGGCTACCATCAGTAACACACTACGCCGCCAGGGACTCAGATCCTGCAGTGCCAGACGTGTCCCCCTGCTTAAGCCAGTACATGTCCGGGCCCATCTGAAGTTTGCTAGAGAGCATTTGGATGATCCAGAAGAGGATTGGGAGAATGTCATATGGTCAGTTGAAACCAAAATAGAACTGTTTGGTAGAAACACAACTCGTCGTATCTGGAGGAGAGAGAATGCTGAGTTGCATCCAAAGAACACCATACCTACTGTGAAGCATGGGGGTGGCAACATCATGCTTTGGGGCTGTTTCTCCGCAAAGGGACCAGGACGACTGATCCATGTACAGGACAGAATAAATGGGGCCATGTATCGTGAAATTTTGAGTGCAAACCTCCTGCCATCATCAAGGCATTGAAGATGAAACGTGGCTGGGTCTTCCAACAGGACAATGATCCCAAACATACCGCCCGGGCAACAAAGGAGTGGCTTCGTAAGAAGCATTTCAAGGTCCTGGAGTGGCCTAGCCAGTCTCCAGATCTCAACCCCATAGAAAACCTTTGGAGGGAGTTGAAAGTCCGTGTTGCCCAGCGACAGCCCCAAAACATCACTCCTCTAGAGGAGATCTGCATGGAGGAATGGGTCAACATACCAGCAACAGTGTGTGCCAACCTTGTGAAGACTTACAGGAAACGTTTGACCTCTGTCATTGCCAGCAAAGGATATATAACAAAGTATTGAGATGAACTTTTCATATTGACCAAATACTTATTTTCCACCATAATTTGCAAATAAATTCTTTCCAAATCAGCCAATGTGATTGTCTGGATTTGTTTTCTCATTTTGTCTCTCATAGTTGAGGTCTACCTATGATGCCAATTACAGGCCTCTCTCATCTTTGTAAGTGGGAGAACTTGCACAATTGGTGGCTGACTAAATACTTTTTTGCCCCACTATAAACACACACACACAGTGCATTCCTAAAGTATTCAGACCCCCTTCACGGTCTCAATTTTGTTATGTTGCAGCCTGAAAATACAGTTGTTTAATTTTTTTGCTCTGTAATTTACATCCTAATGACAAAGGAAAAACAGAATTTTAGAAATGTCTGTGAAGTTATTAAAAGTAAAAAACTGAAATATCACATGTACTTCAGACTGTTCAGACCCTTTACTCTGTATTTTCTTGAAGCAACTTTGGCAGCAATTACAGTCTTGAGTCTTTCTGGGTATGACACCACAAGCATTGCATACCTTGATTGGGTGGATTTTCTGCCATTCCTCTTTGCAAATTCTCTCAAGCTCAACCAGGTTGGATGGGGACCATCAGTGGACAGCCATTTCCAGTCTCTCCACAGATGTTCAATAGGGTTCCAGTCAGGGCTATGGCTAAGCCACTCTAGGACATTGACAGAGTTGTCCCTAAGCCAGGGCTTGACATATTCCAGACATAAGGTTGCCATGGCAACTAGAAATTGTGTCCTGGCACCTGGGCTTTTGTCAGCCCATTTATTGTTGTTCTGAAAGTGGCGTGGGCAGGGGGAAGCTGGTACAGTTGTTTAGGGTGCCAAATTTAGAGGAGTGCTGTCTGCCAGGTGGCAAGTAGAGGGCGTAACAGCTGAAGCCCTACAGGAGTTAAACCCCTCCCCTGGGGTGCGTGACCAAGATGGCATCGGGAGTAAACATCTGAACGGGAGGTTCCAGTGTCCAGTCCATCCATTTCTCTGCAGTCCCATCAGTGCAGGCAACAGAGGCCTGCTGCCCGACACGCTCTTCTCCTCTGGGACACTAGTGGGTATGACCTGAGGCAGAAGCGCCAGCTCACACCACAGAACAGGAGATCCTCTGACACCACAGAGATGAGCGGGAAGTTCCTCCGCCATTACCGACAACATGGCCACTCAGCTGTTTTACTGAATAGGCACACCCGAGCGATGCCCAAATCCATGGAAGTCAGGGTTTTTGGCTGACTGCTCTGCTGTATGTTAGGGTGCGCAAATTACTTGACTTGCCCCAGGCACTGACAATCCAAGCTATACTAAAAAAAAAAAAAAACTGGCTCCTAACTTTTTTAGCTGGCTTCTAGATTCATAGTAAAATTTGTCAAGCCCTGCCCTAAGCCAATCCTGTGTTGTCTTGGCTGTGTGCTTAGGTTTGTTGTCATGGTAGAAACTCAGCCCAGCCTGAGGTTCTAGGTGCTGTGAAACAGGTTTCACTGTGGATATCTCTGTGTTTTGCTGCATTCAGTTTTCCCACAACCCTGACCAGCCCTCCCAGTCCCTGCTGCTGAAAAACACTCCCACAGCCTTATACTGCCACCACCATGCTTCACTGTTGGAATGATATTGGCAGGTGATGAGTGCTGCCTGGATTACTGCAGACATATCTTTTAGAATAGAAGCCAAATAGTTTCATCAGACAAGAGAATCTTGTTCCTCACCATCTGAGTGTCCTTCAAGTGCTTTTTTGCAAACTCCAAGCGGGCTTTTATATGAGGAGAGGCTTCCGTCCAGCCACTTTGCCACAAAGCCCAGATCAGTAGAGGGCTGCAGTGATGGCTGTCCTTCTGGAACTTTATCCTATCTCTGAAGTTCAGAGTGACCATCGGGTCACCTCTCTTACTAAGGCCCTTCTTCCCTGAATGCTCAGTTTGGCTGGGTGACCACCTCCTGGAAGAGTCTTGGTTGTGCCAAATTTCTTCCACTTGAGAGTTATGGAGGTCACTGTGCTCTTGGGAACCTTCAGTGCAGCAGAAACTTTTTTGTAGCCTTCCCCAGATCTGTGCCTTGCAATAATCCTGTCTCTGAACTCTGCAGGCAGTTAATTTGACCTCATGGTTTTTGCTCGGATACAGTATGAATGGTCGGCTTTGAGGCCTTTTATAAAGAGGTGTGCGCCTTTCCAAATTATGTCCAATTAATTTAATTTACCACAGGTGGACTCCAATCAAAGAGTAGAAACTTCTCATCAACTATCAAGAGAAATGGGAGGCATCTGAGCTAAATTTCAAGTATTGTTTCAAAGGATCTGAATACTTAGGCCAATGTGAAATTTCATTTTCCTTTTTCACACATTTGCAAACATTTCTAAAATTCTGTTTTCACTTTGTCATTATAGGGTACTGAGTGTAGATTAATGAGGAAAAAAAAGGACTTTAAACTACTGTAGTATCAGGCTGCAGCATAACAAAATTGAAAAAAGAGAAGGGGATCTGAATACTTTAGAAATGCATTGTATTTAATTAAAGGGTATAATTTAAACAAAAAAAAGTAAGACATTCTAAACAAAATCTTGATTTTTGAGGTTGAAAAAGACTTTTTAAAATCTTTTTGCAAAAAACAATTCTTTTTTGGTCATGCTCTCTAAAATGATAACAAAAGGAAAGAAAAACCTGTCTCAAACGGGACATCACATAACACTGATACTGCTATAAGTCCTCAACTAAATCACTCGGAATTTGTATTTTCTTATATTTTATTACTAAATCCACACAAACCAAAAGATAACAATAGAACATTACTTTGGGAACTATGAGAACAGGCTCAAAGCTCTGATCTAAAAGGTATCAGCTGGCTTTGCAATTATTGAAGACAAAAAAATTTGTGTTTGAGAAATGAATGTTGTGACGATAAATGCCTTGTTACGTATACACAGAAGAGTATTCACTATCCTTTAACCCTTTTACTGCCACGTCAGAACAGTGTATGGTCCTACAGCACTGCTTCCAGCTGGCCAGGACCATACCCCATGTGGACCTGACACTCCTCCTGCTAAAAGCACACGGTCACTCCAGTGTCATGAACTCATAGCACAACTGTTCAGCAGACTCTACTGAACAAAACTATAGCTCTGATTAGAAGTGAACACCATTTCACAAAAAGACGCAATTTAAAATGTACAAATATTTGTTATTTAATAACTCAGAACAGGTTAAGCTTTTATAGTTAGTTGAAATTTAGCAGAATTTGCAGAAATTGCTGTGTTTTTATCTGCAAATAATAAATTTAGTGTATTTTTTTAGCGAAAATATTGTTTTGATTAAGACCTGCACAAATATCATGATTTTCAAAATCAGTAGCACCTTATTTTTATTCTACTGGTCATGGGCTTTCAGGAAAATATAAGGTTTGGGGGTCTTTTATAAACTGAAAGCTGTAAGGGAAAAATAAAATGGAAAAATTGCAAAAATGGTCTGGCCACCTCAGTTTAAAAGTGGAGTGCAGGGATTGGCAGTGAAAGGGTAAAAGAGACCCATGATAGATCCTAGAAGTAAATACTTTTTTTTTTTTTTTAATAAGCAAAAGCATATGAAAAATGTGGTAGAAAGCTCTTCATTCTCTTAATGGCAGGTGACTATCAAAAGATTTTGGAAAAAATAAGATTATGTCTCTTGCCCAGCCTTGACTTGAGCAGCTTCACCACAAGAGAAGACAAAATGCCTTGCCTTCTATTAGACCAGCCTTCCCCAACCTGTTCACCCCGCAGGAATCCTTGAAATAATGTCAAGTCTTTATGAATACCTGCTAAAACCAATTGACCGATGGTCAATGGGAAAAATGCCCTTTGCCTTGATGGCCAATGGGAAGACTGACCCTCTTACAGTGGTGATCAGAATGCCACCCTTACATATAGCTAAAAAGACAACTGGTTTCCTGCAGCTGGCTCTGGCAAGTAGCGATGGTTCTGGAACAATGCAAGCACCATTAAATGGGAGGACAATCAGTCACAGTTCCTGATAGGTCCTTTAAAGACAGACAGGGTTCAGGAGAACAACTTGTTATAATGCACAAAATATACATATCATACTTTCACATTAAGGCAAACTTGTTTCAGGAATGACAGCTCAGGGCTCTTCCTCAAAACTACGCAGCCACTACCACCATCTGCACTGAACCTTATTCTTCTGCAGGAGTTTTCCTTCTTTAGCCATAGAGCATCCAGTCATGGTACAACTCCTGCAAAAGCACAACGGTGCCGCACTATGGCTATGAGTGTACACTGCATTGTGCACAAAATTGCTGGAAAAGGATAGGTTTTCCTTTTTTTTTTTACTTCGGCAGAAAAGAGACACAAAGTCACTTAAACAAAAAAAAGTGCCTGATAGAATTCTTTTCCTTTTCAGTTCTGCTTTAAGGTGAGATCAGCTGATGCCACTATCCTACATATCTTAATACTGATGCCCACATGAACATTTTCAGTGAATATTAACAGTCTTTCATATAACTGAAAGTTTCTGCAACAAACAAAATAGAAATGGCGTGCTTTCATCGCACAAATTGCAAGTACTTGTCTGGGCAGTTCTAAAACACACATTAAAAAGGATGGTAGTGTGAAACAACTTAGCACCAAATAATATTTAAATATTAATGTCTATAATTTTTTCTGGGGAAATATTACCAATGTCTGTGTAATCAATAAAATAAAACTTTAAAAGCACTGCAAATAACATGAAAGTAGAAAAAGCTTGACATAAGAGGTAAGACACATGACCTTGCATACAGGCAGAAACCTAAAGGGTGTGAATGCAGCCAGTTTAATCCTCATTGATGCTAACATGATCCCAAATCTATATTCATTTTGATATGCTATCTTTGTTCTATAGTTGAAATGGGTTTTTATCACAACAAGGTCACATATGGAATAATAAAATGAGCTGCATCACTGAGCAGAAAGGTCAGCATCACAAAATTACAAATGAAGCAGAACAACATGAGGTTACAATGAACATAAATAGCCAACTCACCAGCAGGAATAATGCCAATCCTCATATAGCACCGAGATAATGGAATTTTAGGATTGTTATGATCAACATCAGAATCCTTTTGTACCCGGCCTATAAGGCCATGAAGCACTTCACTGAACATTCCATCGCCACCAACACAAACAATGCTGCAGTGATAAAACGTCTCAGTTATAACAGTTTTACAGCTGTCATGTTGTGCATGAATAAATATCAACAAACATAACCATATACTTTGGTTTTCATTTAACACTGACGCACACAAAAAGTAAAGATGTAACAAAAATAATTTCATGATTTAGCATTTAGAAAGTTAACTGAAATAGTAAAGGTTTCTTTTTTTCTTCTAAAAGGTTCTTTTTAAAAACACACGTTATACATACCTGCTCTCTTTAATGGTTTTGCACAGAGCAGCCTCAACCCTTCTCTTCTCAGATTCCCTGCTGGTGCTCCTGGTTCTTCCCCCTAGACCAGTGTGCCGCAATAGCAAGCAGCTTGCTATGGGTGGAACTGATACATGCTCGCTGCCAAGCAATGCTCTATGCGTACATAAGGCACAGAGTCGTGGTTTGGCCCTGCCCCACTCTCTCCTCATTGGCTCACTGGCTGTGACTGACAGTAGTGGGAGCCGATGGCTTGGGACAGCCGAGGCTCCCGTGGACATCACTAGACTGAAAGAGGGCTCAGGTGAGTATTAAGGGGTGCTTTGGGGAAGCAGCACACAGAATATTTTTTTTTTTTACCGAATACATAAAACATTATAGAATGCATGAAGGTAAAAACGTTCCGACTTTACAACCACTTTAAGCTGAAAGGCTTGAAGATGAGGTGATGGCAACCAGAGAAACCACCTAGTGAATGAGAACAGAGGGATATATTTGATCTGTTCAAAGGACGATTTCTGCAGAATCAACAGAACTACGTTGAGGCCCAGGTGCTCCGGAACTCTTTTCTCTTCATTGTTGCAGTACCACTGGGTGGTCCAGTTTTGTGTAATGATTATCACTGAAATGCCCTCCAACTTGATCCTGCTGAACGGATGAAATAAGCACAGAAGCACTTCAGAGGAGAAAAGGTGTAGGTCAGGTTCAACTAATCACCATGGAGGCACAAAAACATCCATTGCAATGGCCAGAGGATCCCTGCATCTGGAGATAAACTTGTCCAGTCTGTTGTTAAACAGAGATCCTGGAACACCTCCGGGTGAAGGGACCATTCTCCTACATTATCAGATTTGGACACTGTCCAGAGAATGTGCCTTCTTGTCCCACACAGACAGGGGACTGCCACCATCAGACCCAAAACTCATGTAAAAACAAGAGTAGGACAGTTCTAGGATGGCAAGGTGCGAATTTGGAAACAGAGGGTCAAGAGGTTTTTTTTTCTGTAAAAGGGGAACCTTGGACTGATCAGTATGTTGGAGACCTAGGTACTCCAAGCAATGGTCTGATTTTAATTTAGACTTCTGAAAGTTCATGAGGCAACCGAACCTTTGAAGAGTCTTAGCAGAATGGTGGACACTGACTGAAAAAGTCTGTGCCAACTGTTCTCCTCAATAAGATGTTGTCCAGGTATCCCAAAATGCAAATGCAAGAGCAATGCTAGAACAGAAGCCAGTAACTTAGTAAAAACTCAAGGTGCACTGGACAACCCCCAAATGGAAGTAATTACCAGCGCATGTGAAAAAGAATTACAAATAAATCACAAAACTATTATAGTGCAAAAAATTTTTTCATAAGTGTCTATAATTCTTCAAAACAATATCCAGTGATATTTCCACCTCAGGGTTCAGTATTGCCCCAATAGGCAAAAGGCTTACTGGATAATTATGACCCCTTATAAGTGGAGCCATAAAGTTATATCTGGCACGACATCCAAAGTTTCCCCTTTTCAACAGGTATGGATAGGTCAGCAGAATGTGCTCCAGTTCCTCTTATACACTTCCCCTCAGTGTGGTACTGGTTTCAAAACATAAGCAACTCCAGTAGAAAGTATCAAAATGCCATATATCAATCACATATGAATCAACTCACACAGCAATAAAAATTACAACCATCTCTTGATACAGGGCTTGACAAATTCCAGGCGCCGGGTCGTAATGGCAACTAGAAATTGTGTCCTGGCACCTGGGCTTTTGTCAGCCTATTGCCACCTACCTAGTTACCAACCATGCTATAACCGAATGGCGGTTACAGTGAGTTCAGCTAGTTCTGGGAGGGAGTCTATTGAAGTCCTTCCAGCATCCACCTGCACAGCCCCCCCCCCCCCGCACCCCACAGTTGACCACAGATGGAAGTAAAGGTCCAATTACAGCTGATCACATTGTAAACAGACTTGCTGGTTATCAGCAGTCCTTTCCTCACTCGCTGTCACAGCATGAGGAAAGTACAGCCAGTAACCAGCAATTCTGACATGCATATTTACACTGATTATCAGGGCACTGAACATCAGTGCAGCCCCATCAGTGGCCTGATTATCATTGCCTCCTTGTCAATACCACCTCATCAGTGCCCATCAGTGAATAAGAAAAATTACTTATTTGCAAAATTTTCTAACAAACTAGGAAAAACTTTTTTTTTTTTTTTTTTTTTTTTAATTATGACTTTTTGTTTAGCAAAAATAGAAACCTGTGGTGATTAAATACCACCACAAGAAAGCTTTGCCTCAAAGAAAGCTCTGTCTTCAAAAAAATCTAAAAAATGTCATATGGGTACAGTGTTGCATGACCACGCCATTGGCAAAGTGTAACAGCACTGAAAGCTGAAAATTGGCCTGGGCAGGAACGGGGTGTAAGTAGGCATGTTTTAACATCTTAAAAAAAAAAAAAAACACGCAGCAGAAATAAAGCTTTTTTTTTTTCTTCTTCACATACCGGCACCTCTGTGTATTCTTCATGTGTAAACCGGTGTCATGCAAAGTTTGGCATCAGGGTTACATAAGAGAAGGGGTTTTGTCGTTGAAATTTTATTTTAAAAAAAATGTAAACTTTTTTAGCTGTTTGCTAGATTCAAAGCAAATACTTGTCAAGCCCTCTCTTAATGCTCAGTGTTATAGGAAAGCTGAAGGCTCAAAAGAAATTCATGTCCCACTAACTACAAGTCAAGTTTCTTTATTTTTAGCATATTAATTAGATTTATTGGCTTTATATTATAGGGGTAGTAAGCTTGTTTATTTTTTGTTATTTTAAAATGGAAAAGATTGGTATTAGTGCAGGGGATTAGAGTTTTTTTGTTCTGAAATGCAAGGGCAGCAACCGAAGTATTGTTACCCACAGCAAAATGCAGGAAGCATTGATATGATGAAAAGAAAGAGACATACAAGTAGCCATCCTTGGTGTCCACTGAAGACAGAAATTCTCCCAGAAGTTGGGAGGTAATGACTGCACAGAGAGATTCATACACTTTTTTTTTGCAAGAAGGAAGAGGTTGAGCGCTAGGAGTAAAAGCATGCAGGTGCAAAATGGGGTCAAATGCCCCTTTTGCTTTGAAAATGGAGAGCAGGTTGAAGTAGAAGCTCTGGAAGAAAGGTGTTCTTTCAAGCCTAGTTTGTCACTCTTATTAATACCTTGTCATCCAGTCCTCGTCGTCTGTTCTCTACTTTTAACTCTCTACTTTCTCCACCTGCACCCAGTACCTCACTCACTGCTCATGAGATTGACGCAATTCGTAGGGGCATTGCCACTGCACAGACATCCATCCCACTTAGCATACCTTATACTAAACCTCCTTCAACACTTTCCTCTTTTGACCTTGCTACTACCGAAGAGGTCACTAAGGTTTTCTCAGAAGCCCGTCTCACTACCTGCCCCCTGGATCCCATCCCCTCATTCTCCATCCTATGCTCCCTCACTCACATCTTCAATCTCTCCCTCTCTAACAGTGCCTTCCTCTCCCCTCTAAAGCATGCACACATCACTCCCATACTTAAAAAGCCCTCCCTGCACCCCACCAACATGAACAACTTAAGACCCATCTCCCTGATGCCATTTACCTCTAAACTCCTAGAATGCTTAGTCTACAATCGCCTGAGCTCCTACCTCACTGACAAACTTCTTGACCCTTTACAGTCTGGCTTTCGCTCACTCCACTCCACTGAAACTGCCCTACTAAAACTCACTAATGATCTACTAACTGCTAAAACCAATGGCCACTACTCCATACTCTTATTACATAACCTCTCTGCGGCTTTTGATACGGTTGACCATCCCCTCCTCCTCAAAAAACTCCACTCTTTTGGCCTCCGAGACTCTGCTCTCTCCTGGTTCTCCTCCTATCTATCGCAGCACTCCTTCAGCGTTACCTGTAACGCTGCCTCCTCCTCTTCACTCCCTCTTTCTGTAGGGGTCCCTCAAGGTTCTGTCCTTGGACCTCTTCTCTATCTACACCTCCTCCCTTGGTCACTTGATAAACTCCCATGGCTTTAAGTACCATCTCTATGCTGATGACACACAAATCTATCTTTCTGCCTCTCACCCCCCTTCAGTCTCCTCTTGCATTACTGACCTACTAAGTGACATATTGGCATGGATGTCACTCCACTTCCTCAAACTCAATCTTTCCAAAACTGAGCTCTTAATATTCCCCCCAGCCTGTGCCCCCTCCCTCCCCTGACTTCTCCATCAAGATCAATAAACACAATCATCAGTCCCTCCCCTCATTCCAGGGTACTAGGTGTAATCCTAGACTCCCATCTGTCCTTTCAGTCTCAAATCCAATCACTGTGCAAATCTTGTAGACTACACCTCCGCAACATCTCCAAGATTCGACCATTCCTAACCTTGGAAACCACTAAGCAACTTATTCACTCCCTGTTATATCTCGCATTGACTATTGTAACTCCCTCCTCATTGGTCTACCTCATCGCAGGCTATCCCCTCTTCAGTCTATCATGAATGCTGCTGCCAGACTCATCCACCTTACTAACCGTTCTGTATCTGCCACCCCTCTCTGCCAATCCCTCCACTGGCTTCCCGTTGCCCAACAGATAAAATTCAAAACAATAACATATAAAAGCCATTTACAGAGGCAGAAGCAAAGCAAATATGACATAATGCACACAAAACCCCAAAAATAACTCTGCCCCAAATTACATCACCAATCTTGTCTCCAAATACCACCCAAACTGTACTCTCCGCAAGACTTCCTATTCT